TAGACCCTCAGTAGTGATTATTAAACCACACTGAACTATACAAATAAAGGTGAATTGAAGTGAATTGAATTTAAAGTTTATAATGCATATCCAATTAGAACCACTTATTTGGTAAACAAAGCAAGTCTGTCATATAATATATATCTACTACAAGACATAAAATATTACTTTACAAACTGTAATATAAATAAACCATATGAACATTTTTGTCAATAAATTATTGAAATTAACTAAAAACTGAATAAATATAAATTTACACACATTTACACAAGTAAATAAATAGACCCAGAGATGGGCTAAAAATCTAGAAATCTGCATGCACAGATTCCGTGTGGGCCTAGTCATGAACTAAGGTTGGTCTAAAACTACAGAGATGCAAAGGGAGTCTCCAGGGAGTCCCACTCCAGCCTTGCTTTCTAAACTGCTGAACAACCAAATATTTTTGTTGAGTATTGAGTATTTCATCAGATGTTTTAACATTCATGGACACCAGAACTGGAAAAATATTGACTCATCAAGTATTTCATCCCTGTAAAGCTTTGATTCTTCAGTCAGTATGAAGTATAAGACATTGCAACTGCACCCAATGTTTCACTCCCGATATTTAAATGATCTTTACAAATTGACTCTAAATCTTTTCATTAATATTAATTAATTATATATTCTCAGTGGAATGAGGTGGTCCTGTGGTGTTTCCTGTTCTTGAATTTTTATCACAGCCCATCTTCTTGAGTTCATACTAAATATTGTCGTGTGTTATGCGATTCACACACTTGTTGAGGTATGAGGCAGTTTTTGAAGCTCCACTACCTAATGTATAAAGTAATATACTACATATTTAATGGAAAATCACAAAAATAACCTAGTTATTATTGTTTATATAATTTAAATAAAAAATAAAATGGATGAAACATGTATAGTTTTAAAAGTAGAAATTTATTGATTTTGAAACAATAAAATCTTACACAATTATAACATGATACAATATGTCAGAAGAGCTCAACAGAGGGAAACAACTCATATATATCTAGATAGATTTGTATATTTACAAACACAAACAACTTTTGTCAGACATTATGAGATTCGGTGTAAATAAATACTGTAAAAATGTGCAATAAGACAAATAGATAAGGCCATACTGTCAATCTACAGTGTGTACAGCAAGTAAGACAATGTAACATCTAAGAAGTATTTATAATTAAAGAAATTCTACAAGTATAGTTATATAACAATTCACTGGCTTTACATTTTTTGATGTCATTTAATTAAAACATTACACTTTTTATTGCAGTTGGGCAAGCAGTTGTTTACAGTCATCTGATCGATCCAGGCTCTCAACGGCTTCAATGAGCCTTTCCACCTTCTCTGTGGACAGCACTGTGCCTGCGTTGTTACGGAACTTCTTATGGAGGCTTTCTTGGCTAAGAGGGTTCCTCCAGTGACCGTAGAAAGTGTCGCAGCGTCCTCTTAAGACATCTCCGGTTACCAAGGTAACCTCAACCTCACCATACATTATGTTGAAATTGGCTGGGTTGTCACTGGGGTGCTCTAAACGGACACGGGAGAGAAGTGCATGAAGTTCTGGCCGTTGAATGGCTTCTGGGTGGAAGGATTGCACTGTCACTTCTCCATCCAGCAAAGCAGTGCAGGCGTTGAACTGGAAAGAATGGCGCGCCTGGTGCTCTGACTCTGGGAATGGACGATTGATGTATTTGGAGAGTGGCACCCTAAGCAGGATGTCCTGCACCAGATTTGGAGAAATGCTGCCTCCTTTTAGCCCAACCAGGGTCTTGTGCACAACAGAAGCAGCATCAGCAATCCAGTGCATTCCCAGATGTGCAGGAAAGCGCTTGAAAGCGATGTCTTGTGACTCTATCAGAAAGCTGTGTTCATCCTCCTCAGGGGATCCAATGGGACGTGGGGCATAGTCTTCATAGAAAGCGCTGAAGCCAGCAACGCCAGGTACTGCATCTAAAACTAGAGGACTTGCTTCTAACCCACGAGATGCCAGCAGGGCTGCTTCGAGACCTAGACGTGAAGCATTTCCGATGTGAAGAGGTTTAGATTGTGTTGCAGCATTAGCCATTGGTGCACCTGCCAAAGATGCAGCGATGGCCAAAGCATTACTGGCTTGGTTGCGATCCAGAGAAAGGAGGCGAGCACAGGCAGCAGCACTACCCAGAGTGCCCACCACACTTGGAGGATGGAACCTTAAGGAAAAGACAGAAAAGAGCATTGTTATTATTTTATAAGCTCAATCTTCTGTTGGCCGTACATCTTCACATGATATGAATTTGCACATCCATCACTTAACACAAGACAAAACATCTTCAGATTAATTTGCACTTAGGTCAAAATAGCTCCCCTGCTCTTTAAATGTGTGCTGCTTCTTCAAAAATGAGTATATCAAATATTTAGACAGCTGTTTTTAATCTTGCCTCAGCAACTCTTTTGAATTTGACAAATCGTAATGTTTGAGTCTTCACATAGTTTCAGATGTTATTCTAGAATTTAGGTGGTTTTTGTTTTTACAGTACTCAGGAAATAACAAATTATGAGTCTTTAACTATATTCTTGGAGCACAAACAGAGCTGCTTTGCATAACCACCTGTCTCTGAAGGAGCTTTGACAGCCTTGCACAAAATCTGCAATGTTCTTACTCAGCCTGGTGTAAATGTGCATAAATTATGTAATGCAGCAAAGTTTATACTGTGCTGTGCTGAAAAAAAATGGATGGACTCTCTCTAACCTCTTAGGGATGTTGTGAGCCTCATTGGAGAATCTCATCAGTCGGCCTTGTATTTCAATGCCCACATTGAATGCGGTTAGAAAGTCAAGCCCGCTTGGTTTGCTGTTGCTGTGCAGCATGTCGCTGATAGCCAGGAGGGCAGGCAGTACTGCTCCAGAGGGGTGAGTTGCAGGATGCCAAGTATCATCAAAGTCCATCGAGTGAGCCTGTGCAAAAACCAACATGTCAATAAATGTACACAGTGTCTTTCTGTTGTGGCAGTTACTCAACGATAGTTAGTGTCGTCTTTTCTCACATAGCAAAAAACACAACATAGGATAAGCTGTGCATGACTGCAGGTAGTATAAAAAGAGCCATTGCACTACTTATTAAAATAGTTTTTCACATTACTACATTTGCAGCCAAAAATAATGTTATAAAACAAGTTTAAATTTATACGCCTCTTTGACTTTTTGACAGGCTGCTAATCTCAGGACTTGCAGAACAGGATTTTCACAAGAAAAAAAAGTGTGTCAAATTACATATGGAATGTTAGATTAAGTGTCAAAATCGTCCAGGTAACTCAACACATTAGGCAGTACTTACTGCTACTCCATTGACAAAAGCAGCAAGCGTTGGAGAAAGCTTCACACCTTGGCGCCCATAGACAAAACTGATGTCGTCAGAAGCATACATGTGCTGGGGTAAGAAGACAAATGGATGGTCAGAAAATTCAGCTAATTCACATGAACATATCAGAAATACATTTTGCCTACAAAGACATGCTTTGACTTATTATATTTACTATTTACTGTTGGACCTTGTCCTACCTGGCAGTGCTGAAGGGCAAGATCAAACACCTCAGTGGTGCTTCCCACAAGCCCAACTCCAATGCTGTCTAAAACCATGCGTTTGCTGCGCTGTAGCACTGTTGGTGTCAGATTCTTTGGCTGTACGCTCTGAATAAACCTGCCAAAGCTGCTAGTGACTGTTTCCTCAGGAGCAGGACGCTCTGCCACTGAAAACAGACAAGAGACAATGTAAACGAATCTGAAACAATTCACATAATTTACTTGGTTATTTTCAAAAGCCAGTCTATACAAAAATGCATTAACATTTCTGAATAATCTAAAATTAAATCTCGATTAAAATCTAAATCATGAGTTAAAAAACAGTAGTTTAGAGGAAAGGTAGAGAGCTGTAACACGTAGAGCTTGCTCACCATCTAGTGCAGATTTATGCAGTCCTCGGGCAGCCGAGAAGGAAGTCAGGTATCTGGAAGATCTCTGTGTACAAACAATTATGTTTGAGTGACAACTGTGTTCTATCTAAATAAATTCATGACACATCAGAGTTTAAAGTAAGTTTTTTTTTTTTCTTAATTCAGCATGTCTTAAATCCATATTAAAGTATACTTATTATAGGTAATAGCACATGGTTATTATTATTCTGTTATTTAAAAATTCCAGTTATTAAGTGAAAAATTTAATAATTTTTTCTTCATACATTGAGAAAACAAACAAAATTCTAAAAGCTCCAAGACTATGAAGACGATGATAATATTCAATGTTATACCTGTACCGCTGAAAGCATGTTGAAGATGATTGTTGTGGTCAGGATCTGGATATGAAGATTGTTTTCAAAGTCTCTCTCCTTTCTCTAACTGAATGTAGAGATGACTGGTTGACGATAGAGGATGCTGCTGTGATAGAGTCAGCTATGGCCTGTCTCTTTTATATGTTCCTAGACAACAAAAGACAATAATACACCCACTGAACCCAGAAAAGCGGGGCTGGATTTCCCAGGTGTTATTTTTAGGTTCTTGGGTGGGATTTTCACAGAAGGAAACAAAGTGTTTATTGACAGGGTCAATGATGTCACTGTTAATGATGGGCATGGGCTGGCTGACATCACAGTAACTCCTCCCATGTCCATCAAGAATGTTTCTATAAACTTAAAGCATTTTGAAAATCATCTCAATACTTAATTCCAGACCAAGGATCTTCACTGGGTAAGTGTTTTGTATTTCTTTAAAGATTTGTTCTTCTTTTATCTTTTATTTAAAACATACTATTGATATATACAATTAAAAATGTTAAATATAATATAAGGTAACACTTTATTTTGATGGTCCATTTGAGTATTAGTAGGCTGTCGGCTTAATATCTGTTGATGCTGTTACTTCAACAATTACTTAACTGACTATAAGAAACTTTGCAAGTGCATGTCAATTTACACTAACCCTAACCCCAACCTAACATTCTACTTATAATCTAATTAGTTGGCATGTAGATGCAATGTAGCTTAAATTCAAAAAACGCACCATCAAAATAAAGTGTGACCTATTATGAATATATACACCACAACAAAATGTCTTTGCCAGAAGAATTTCAATTGATTATGTTAATATATGGAGTAAAGCAGGTTGAAAATTTGACATTACTGTCAGCTCAAACTTACCGTAAGGTTATCCTTAAGTCTTGTCCACAGACAGCTCTCTGTGTAGATTGGCATCTGTTTGCTGGCAGTTTGAGATAACACAAATTAAATGACAGAACCTGTCGCTTTACTGACACCTGAACTGGAACAAAGTACATTTTATGCAGTTAAGACTTACCTCTACACCAGAGACACAGTTTTAGTTAATAGCCTGAAGGCTGATACATAAACTATGTCAAATACTTTTGGCTACTGCTCAGCTGTAGGCTGAACCAGACTGCTGCATTACTTGCTTACGGAGGTGGGAGAATATGAAACTAAACACACATGAATAGGCAGTTTTATTTTTGGTTCATTTTTAATGTCTCATTTAAAATCTTCGAGGACAAAAACATGAAAATTTTCATTTCTTAAAATACATTTAGTAATATTATTATTATTAATTAATAATTAAGTAACTATTTTATGTTAATCATGACTAAAAGTACAAATATTTTATATCGTGCTGATTATCTGCCTGATATCCACGAGATACACATAACTTCTGTTAAATACAACACATAATGATTCAATTGTCTTAGACAGCTATAATCAAAGTAAATTTAAGCACAAATGTAATTTTTTATCATTGATTTGGAGGTGACTTGACAAAGAATGTAAAATGTTTGTGTGAATTTGTTCCATTAATCATTATGTCCTCTTTACACAACCTATTTTTATCAGTAAAAAGCTACACTTTAGGGGAAAGTCATGGCATCAGACGGTGGCTTTCCGGCAAGTTTTTATGGTGAACCGGGTGTCCTTGGGCTCCTGGCCAATGGCATCAGTGCTTTCCTTGTGCTACTGCAGAACTTCCATGGGGCCAGGACTGGTGTTCCTGCAGAAGGAGTGGAGAATATATTAGCAGGTGTTGTGCATTGATATAATATTTATTTTATAAATAGTTAATATATAATTAATGTATAATTTAACAAACAACTCAGAAGATTTTTTTCAGTTTCAGCTTAACTCAGTAAATAATCTTATGTTCATTTATACAGGTGTCCATCTTATTCTAATTGGTGGGCTGTGTCAGCTTGTGGCAGGCTTGCTGTCCTTCCGAAAATATGACCATCTAAGTGGAACGTCATTTGTAGGATATGCAGCTCTGTGGGCGAGCTATGGGGCCACAAGAATTTATCTCGGTGCTAACCAACAAAGTCCAAACCCATTCAATGAATCATCAATGGCAAATAGTACATTTCTAGATATGAACACAAACACAGGCAGTATCAATACAACTGACATTCCCTTGTACATCAAGGAGTCTGCCATCGCTGGGCTGGTCCCTTACATCCTGCTTTCCTTCCTTCTGGCCTTTTGTTCAGCAACAGTAAATTATATAATGCCCTTTGTGTTTGGTGCCATCACTCTCACGCTCATATTTGAAGCTGTGGGTCTAGTAGCAGGGTGGGCATTAGTTGTCTCTGGCATTCTGGAGCTTCTAATCTTGCTCTTTGCCATATATGGCTCATCAGCGCTGCTAATCAAAGGACTGACCCAACGTTATGTGCTAAAGGGTTTTGGAAACCCTCTCTTTAACGTGCTGCTTCTAGGAACCACCAATGCCGGCAGCTCCCAAAGCCTAGGTCAAGAGAAAAAGAAGAATACAAAATATGCTGAACCAATGGCTTTGGGATTCTTCTGCGACACAGTCTCACCATTTATTTTCGCCTTTTATGCCTTCCATTACTTCCCATCAAACTCGGTAGCTGCTATCTGGATAACCATAAATTCCGCTGCTCAACTTTTATCCAGCTATTATGCGTATCTGCGTCAAGACTGCTACCATGCTACCAAATTTGGCCTACACTGCATGTTTTGGTTGGTGAAGACCTGGGAAGAATATGTGGTGTCTGCAACCACTGGCCAAATCGAAGCCGATAATGTAAGACCTGCCATGGTTGGCAACTGGTTCTTCTTGTCTGCTGCCTTGGTTTTCTGCATCGCGAGTCTAAACAAAGACACACTTGAGCTAATCCACAATTCATTTTTTGCCCTGGTGACAATATCAACCATATCCCAGATTCCAGTCAAGCATTACTACATGTTTTTTGGAGTGGCCTGCTCTCTGTTCACTCTCCTGTCCTTCTATGGCACCTTTGCACGCCTTATCAATACCATTGCTGAGAAGTCCTTGATTCCAGTTGGACCCCAACCTGTCTCCAATGAATCCCTGCAGAAACATCTCAGTTACCTCAAGAAATCTAAACTGATTGAGCCTGAGGATAAAGGTGCACAGATCCCCGATGCTTTATTCTACCTCTGCAATGGGTTGGCTGCGCTCTCAGCTATTCACAATAATCAGTCCAACCTGGCCTTTTTCGACCTAACTGTTCCTTGGGTGCTCATCCCAGGAGCCATTATGCAGGCCTACATCAGTCGACTACAAGTACAAGGTGGCCAGAAATTCGGCTCTGTTGTTCCATCCTTCTATGTGGCTATTTGGGCAACTTGGTGCTGGTTTCGGTTTGCAGGTAGGAAAAGATAATATGTCATGTGAACAATAAATAGAAATAATACAACAAGTAAATGTTCAAATTTAGAATATTAATGTGATGGTTTGTTTCCCTGCAGGACATCGCTTGCAATTATCCACAGAGTCAGCATACGGATTTGCTGCTGGTGCTATAGCATTCCTGGTCATCAATGCTTTCTTGATTCTAGTTGGTAGGTTTGTTTCTTAACACATGAGATAGCCTATCACAAAAGTATCTTGGAGTTTACAATTGGACTCTGTTTTGATTTTTTCACAGCTGCCTATGGCAATCTTGTTAACTTGGCATTGATCACTGTCATGGAGGTCATCATAGTTTGTTTTCTTCTCTCTACTCTTGGAAGGCTTCCCTATCAACTAGAAGGTACAGCAAAACAATACATTTTGTAATGAAAAGTATTGTAGACAATAAAAATGCAACAGCATAAAATAATGTGTCATTTTATCTTTTTAGTTGCCATGCTAGCAATTTTTGCCATCATATGTTTATATGGAATGCTAGCATCACTTGTGAATGGCATGTTCTCCAAGACTCTGATACCAGTAGGACCTGCCCTTATTAAGGTATTTGATTTATCAGTGATGACAAAATGTCAAAAATAAAAGCGTCCTACTAACGAATGGATTTTCCATATCTTAGGACAAGAAAAAGAACAAATCCGAGACCACGTATCCATGTTTAATTGCTAATTCCCGGGAAACCAGCGGACTCCTTAAGATCGCAAAACTGTTGGAAAACAATGGAGTGTGTGGTATTCCTACAGACACTGTCTATGCCTTGGCTGCTTCATGCAAGAACCCCAGTGCAATTGAGAAGATCTACACTATCAAAGTACATACTTGTCGGTTTTCCTAATAATTGAATACGTATTAGCCCTTTGCCAACCGACTTATTGATTTCTGTCTTTGCTAGGACCGTCCTGCAGAGAAGCCAATATGTATCTGTATCTCAAGCGTGGAGCAGCTAGTAGCAGCTAAACCTCCCTTCAGCCCTCTGCTGTGGGAGTTCATGAGGAACGTCTATCCAGGAGGAATTAGCTGCATTGTTCCAAAGGGAGATTGGCTCCTCAAACTCGGTACAGTCATTGTCAACATTTTGTTTTAATATGGCCTAACTATATTTTAAAACTTGATATTTTTATCCAACCAAATAAAAATTTCAATTAAGAATTTGTAATTATATTAAAGTTGTTTCACATAAACACTAGCACTGTTACTTATCTGATTTTACTATTTGGATTTTTTCTTTCTAAAGCTGCTTTGACAATGTGTACTGTTTAAAAGTGCTATACAAATACACATGATTGACTGTTTTCTTCTGTAATTTTCACTGATTATGCTGATTGCAGGTGTGGGTCCTGCGTATGACCGTGTGGGGACGAGAGAAAGCATTATGATCAGAGTTCCTGACCACACCGCTACTGCTCACTTGTGCGAATTCACTGGTCCATTGGCCATTACATCTGCCAACCCAAGTGGAGAAGCTGACAGTACTCACCATGATATGGTCATCAAGTAAGTATATAAACTCTCAGATACAATTATATAAGTGAATACAGACTTCACTGAACAGAAACATAATGTAGCCTAAACAAGGGTTTGTATCGGTTAATGTTTTACATTATCCAGTCTGTTACATTCACTTGAGAAATGTTGTGCATTGTTTTCTTTTGTCCTGAAACAGTCGTCTTGGCCACAAGATTGAAGGAGTCCTCTGTGATGGAGAATCTAATGAGGTGGTGGCGTCAACTGTAGTGAACTGCTTGAAAATAGATGAAGGTAAATTCATATCTCAGCTGATACCTCATAATATACACGTGTGTGTGTATTTAGTTATTAGTAGGGATGTAACGGTATTGTAAATACCGTCATACCGCAATATTAATTTTTTTCGATATTACCGAAGTCGCATGACTCGGTAAAACTATAGGTCTTCTGAGAAAAATTGCTCAGGCGAATGAAGCGAACGGGAGGTAGCGAAAACTACAATCCCCATCATCCCTTGCGGTCTGTTGTCGCTACAGATCCAGTAATGCGGAAATGGAGTGTGCTGCTAGAAGCGGGGATCAAAAAGAGCTGTAAAACTCTAAGGCCCCTTTTACAAGAGTGCATTTTAGTTTTAAAACGGCGTTGTAGAATGAAAACGATCCGCGTCCACACTCGCGTTTTACCCAGCGTTTCTGAACAGCTCTCCGTCCACACCAAAACGCTGAAAACGCACATCACGTGACCACACACACACTCTCGGGCAAGCGCTCCAGCATTTCTACCCAGATGAGAGCTCTGCTTGTCGGACTGCTCATCAAGCATCTCCCGCTGGATCTGATCTCGCTATATTTGCTAAACGTGATATTTCGTTCATCTTGTTGTCTTTATCTAACGACATAGGCCAATTCCCTGACTTTGGTCATTGGAATCTATTAAGTTACTTGTTCACGGGTAACATGTTTTGGTTAAGCGCAAAGATAAGTTAATGATTAATCCAGGTACATTGACTGATCGCTTGCCTTTATTTCCTACAATGTATAAACTTATTGTATGTTATACTTTTATAATTATCGATTATTAAAACTGATATTCAGCAAAAGAGAGGGTGTGTTTCGTATTTTCACTGAAATTGAAAGGAGGCAGTTGTTATCGGCTCCGTTTTGTTATAAATATGCACACAGTGAAGATGACGCTCATATATGAGGCACGACGCCTCAACATTTCTGCTGTCTGTTAAGTTGCTAATATTAAAAAGAAAATAGGCAGTTCCTTATATCATGTTTACATTTTATTGATGAGAAAGTGAAACAACGTAGCCAGGGTGATGTGAGTGAAGTTATAAAGTACACTGTTCCCTTTGAAGATTTACGCGTGTCCTCGGTATGTTTTCCATATCAAACTGAGAAGGGGGAGACTGCAGCCTTGATCAAACTTGCGAAGTCTTAACTTACAAGAAGAGGATGCAAGACTGAACTGTGTGTGGGCTACTTAATATTGAGGAAAAGCCCCAATCAGATAGGCGAACGTTTGCAGCCCCGCCTCCGTTTTCAAATGTCTCCGTCTTTCCCCATCCACACTGAGACGGAGCAGCAGCGTTTCAGAATGAAAACGGCCTCTCCAGCGTTTTCGAAACGCTCCGTTTTCGGCGCTCAAGAAATAAGTCATATAAGTCATATCTCTCTTGTCCCAGAAACCTCAGTACCAAATGAGAGGTTTTTTTTCTGTTGCAGGGGACATTGTAAATGCCCAGAGATACCAGCTTTTACCAGATTATATTTATATGATAATTTTCCTTTAAACCCATCTCTATCTAAGTGAGTGAGTGATTAAATGTTGAATGTGATGAGTTTTCAACAATACTAAATTAAAAACTTAAATTTTTTTTTTACATGGTTTAATATTTTTTTTGTTATTAAAATTGAAGTTCCTGTTTCAAAGCTTACAGATAGATGGCTAATTTGTATGTCATTGACACTTTTGGCACTTTTTTGGAGTATTTTCATAAGTTTTGTTTTTTCCTGTAAATGATTCAATAAATACCGTACCGTGACATTGATACCGAGGTATTACCGTACCGTGAAATTCTGATACCGTTACATCCCTAGTTATTAGTAATAACATGCATTATGTTCCTTTTTTAGGGGCTATCAGTATTCTTCGTGAAGGTTGTGTGCCTGCACTGAAAGTAAGGCAAATCTTCGAACGAGTGAAAAACAGCATGCTTTAGGTTTACTGTCATCGGATTTGACAGCACCTCCTGTTTCTTTGGTTAATGGAAGAATGTTTTAGACTGCACATTAAGAACACTTGACATGTAAATAGATACATTTTGGATCTTGCTTTACTGCATTATTAATTATTCTGAGCAAGAATCCACATATTGAAGTTGACATTATTCGTTCAAATTAAGTAAGCATTAGCTACCTTACTGCAGGTCATTGTCGAAAAAATGTTGTTGTTATTATTGTATGAAGGTTTAAAAAGATGTAATATTAAAGTGTTTTATTAATGTATTGTTATTTATGTATTATTTTAATGGTTTATGCCTTTGCTAAATGTAAATATACGGAAAAGCTATGAAATGTTCAGTGAAAACATGAAGGAATGTGGATTTAAATTATCTTTGCATATGCTTATGTATATTATAAACAATTTAAATGATGACATGTTTGAGGAATTTCTGTTTTGAGAAGTGATGTATGAATGATTGTCTAATAAAGTACTCTAACAAAGATTTTTCTGTCATTAAATTAATTAAAAGGCCTTTCTAAGGATGCTATCACATCAAAGGACCAAACTGTGGAAATATATGCAAAACACAGTCTGAACATAGAATCTTGTCATCTAAATTTACTTTCATTTGCAAACTACATGAATATATACAGTAGAACTATGTTTTAACTACATACAACATGCAAACAGTGTGAAAGTATGCAGATAATAGTTCCATAAATATGTACTATTTTTAAACATCACTTCAATAATCATTCTGTGGGGAAAAGAAGATACTAGAACACATACATACATAGCATTTCCTTTACAAAAGTGTGGACTTGAATTAACATTATGAATATGAACACCATATATAAATACCCCTGAAAATGATTCAGGTGAAAGATGTGTTTCCATGTGAGTTTGGAAAACAAAGATCGATCCAAAGCTTATCAAGCAAAACAACACTTTATTGAGCCAAATTTGGCAAAAAAAAAAAAAAATCTTTTTGATGTTCAATGCATGTGAACAATTTGCAAACGTATATCCATCATTCATTATCACTATAATAGAACCATTTATTCAGTCAGTCTTTACAACAATAAAAAAATGAAGATATTGACCATGGAACTGACAAACAAATTTTCCAAATACAATTATTTTGAAATAAGTTATAATAATTAAATATACAGTTGAAGTCAGAATTATTAGCCCCCCTGTTTATTTTTTCCCCTCAATTTCTGTTTAATGGAGAGAATTTTTTTTAACACATTTCGAAACAGAATAGTTTTAACAACATATCTCTACTACCTGATGTATTTTATCTTTGCCATGATGACAGTTAATAATATTTTACTAGATATTTTTCAAGACACTTCTATTCAGCTTAAAGTGGCATTTAAAGGCTTAACTAGGTTAATTAGGTTAACAAGGCAGGTTAGGGTAATTAGGCAAGTTATTGTATAACGATGGTTTGTTCTGTAGACTATTGAAAAAAAAATAGCGCAAAGGGGCTAATAGTTTTGTCCCTAAAATGGCTTTTTAAATGTTTAAACTGCTTTCATTCTAGCAGAAATAAAACAAATAAGTCTTTCTCCAGAAGAAAAAATATTATCAGACATACTTTAAAAATGTCTTTGCTCTGTTAAACATCATTTAGAAAATATTTAAATAAATAAATAAATTAAAAGGTGGCTAATATTTCTGACTTCAACTGTATGTAAATAATAATAATATAAGACATGCATGATGTCAGTGTGGAAAGATGAATAAGTAAGGTGAATAAAACTCTCCCAGCTTAGGTAATAAACTAGTTTAAAGATGTTATGTCAGGGTGGCAGAGAGATATTGAAAGGCGAGAGATACTTATTTATTTATTTTTTATTATATTTTTTATTCGTTTTTTTAACACTGATTGTAAAAAAGTGTGATTGCCAATGATAATTTAGCCTTCTCAACTCAAGAACATTTAGAAGTGAAGTTTATAAAACTTTACTTGATACAGATTTTTTTTTACTAGCAAATTAATAAGTAAAACTTTTTTACTTGATTTGATTTTATTCAGACAGAGAGGGGATATAAACTTTTTTTTTACATAAAAACAGCTTTAAAAACATTTATTATATTATATTATATTATATTATATTATATTATATTATATTATATTATATTATATTATATTACATTATATAGGTTAATATGCAGAATTTCACTTCTCAAATATAACACAAAATAACACAATAGCCAAATGACATAGATGGAGTTCTTCATCTCACAAAGTTCTGTTCGAAAGAAAATGTTTACTTGAGGACTTTCTTTTTTATTTTTAGAGCTGTTTATAAGAGCAGTGCATAAAATTGGCTTTAAATAAAATACCTACTGTAGGAATACGTAATGACATAATGTTTGATTATCTACTGCTTAATATGCATTTCCTTTTTCCTCATTAACATTACAAAACTCTCTTATGAAAGCATGCAGTGTCAAGATTTGAAGGAAATATTTTACACAGAAATGTATTCATCAAGGGTTACCATAAAGCACTCTCCCAGCTTAGGTAATAAACTGGTTTCATGATGTGCATCCGGGGTGACGGAGAGATTCTGAAAGTCAAAAGATACTTACTTTACTTATTTATTTGTTTATTATCTATCTATCTATCTATCTATCTATCTATCTATCTATCTATCTATCTATCTATCTATCTATCTATCTATCTATCTATCTATCTATCTATTTGGTTACACTTTTTTTTTGATGGTCCTTTTGAGTATTGAGTATTAGACTGTCTGCCTAATATCTATTGATACTGCTCTTTCAACAGACATTTAACTGACTATAAGAAACTTTGCAAGTACATGTCAACTTACACTAACCGTAACCCTAACCCCAACCATAACCCCAACCATTTACTAATAATCTAATGAGAATTAGTTGTCATGTAGATGCAATGTAACTAAATTCAACAAACGGACTTTCAAAATTGTGTGACCATTTATTTTTATGCTTAATGTATAAAAGTGTGATTACCGATGATAAATAGCCTTCTCAATTATCTCTGCGTTCCGCCTGAAATTTTTTAGAAAACCTCACTTGTGTGAACAATTCCAACGCAATCTCAAGAAAATTAGTGACTTTTTTAATTTAGTGACTAATTCATATGAATTTGTGTGATGTAATTTGTACAATTTTGTACGACCTGCTCATAACCCAATGACGGTCGGGTTTAGGGTGGGGTTGGGTGCCACATTTCCTTTTTAAAATCATACATTTTTGCACAACTGAACTCGTACGATTTCACCACTAAACTGATGAAACATAAAATACTTACGTTTTCTTGTGAGATCAGGCTGACAATTGATACTAAATATTTTCAACTAGCAAATTAATAAGTAAAAGTTTTTACTTGATTTATTGTAATTCAGACAGTGAGGGCAAATAAAATCTTGTTGACATACAAACAGCTTTAAAATTTTTTTTCCATATGCCTGTATAGTTGGCAGTTCATTCCGCTGTAGGGACCTCTGAAATAGAGCCGAAGGAAAATGAATTAATTAATGAATGAATTGATTAATATTATGTTATACGTATACACTGTAGAAAAAATCTGTAATTTTACAGTTAATTTCCGGCAGCTGGGGTAAAAAAGCGTTAAATAACAGCCATTAAATTACAGAAATTTACCGTAAAATAAGAATATTAAATTACAGAAATTTACTAGAAATTTAAATTTAGGGAAATTTCTGTAATTTAATATCTGTTATTTTATGGTAAATTTCTGTAATTAACAGCCGTTATTTTACTTTTTTTCGGCAACGCAGCTGCCAGAAAAAAATATGATTCTTTTTACAGTGTAGGCTAGCATGATGAATTCATTTCACATCTTAAATACAACACAGAATAACAATATCAAGATGACATCAGATGTTCTTCATCTTACAAAGTTCTGTTTAAAAGGAAATGTTAGCTCGTCTTTTTATTTTTTAAAGCTATTTAGGAGAGAGCAGTGCATAAAATTGGCTCAACATAAAATACCTATGAACACGTAGTGACATCATGTTTGAATTTCTATTTCCTTTTCGCCACTAACATTCCAAAACTCTTATGAAAGTATGTCAAGATGTGTCAAGATTCAAAGGAAATATTTTAGGCAGAAATCTATTTATAAAACATTATCATATTGCCACACTGTAAGAAAAAAAATCGTAAAAAAAAGGTCAATTGACTGGCAGCTACGGCTGCCAAACAAAAACCATAAAATTATGGTAAAATGTCTTTGTTGAAATAAAGTGTAAAAAATAATAAATCTACAGATATTTTCATTCAAATGTTTACTGAAAAACAATGTTATTTTACAGACTGTTCCTAGATTATTACGATCAAATCTGTTCCATAAAGTTACATGCTAAGAGTTTTACAAAGAAACACTGTTATTATACAGACTTTTCCTAGATTATTATGATCAAACACCATCAATAAAGTGACTGCACTAAAAGTTCAAGAGAAAACAATTTTATTTAAAAGAATTTTCCCTAAATCATTAACACCTTTAATAACATGCCAATAACATGCCAAGACATGCTCATGATCATAATTTAATAGTTTTATTTTGGATCAAAAAATTTTGGAAAAAACAACAAACGAGATACAACTGATTAAAATTCTCAACTTTAAAATTACAGTTGTTGCATTTTAATGAATAGTATTTATGTAAAACATGTTTGAGTTATATGGAATGGATCAGTTCCAAATCTTAAATGAAATGGAACTGTAACGTGAATGGGACGCTGAGAAAGGAGTGCAGATCCAAATGCAGGTTTATTACACAGAGATGGTCAGGCAAACAACAGTCAACACAGGGGCAAACAGATGTAACATTATGCAGGGAATCCAGAGTCATGGTCAAATAACAGGCAAATGGTCAGTCCCGGTAGCAAACAATGTAAACAATTAACAAACAAAGCAAGGCAAGGCAAAAGAAGAGAAACGCGTCATAATGTTCTCAGTAACAGTATAACAAGACTAAGCAATTGGTCTATGCTGCTTTTAAAGTGCCTGTAATCAGTTCATAAAGATCCTCCGACTGTGTGTGTGCAATCAGCGTAATCCGGAACAGGTGCATGTAAGCGCACTTAGTGTATAACTTTATTGAACGTATTTGATCGTTATAATCTAGGAAAAGTCTGAAAAATAACAGTGGTTTTCTGTAAACATTTTAATGAGAATATCTCTAGATTTATTATTTTTTTAACTTTATTTCAACAAAGAAATTTTACCATAATTTTATGTTTTTTTTTTTGGTAGCCGTAGCTGCCAGTAATTTGACATTTTTTTTACAATTTTTTTTTTTTTTTTTACAGAGCAAGTAATTAAAATTTATTACTTTCATTTTACGTCATTTTAAATGTACTTAAAAAAACAGGAAAAAACACTGCATAAATAATACGGCAATTTTATTGTATAAAACAGACAAATTGCTGTAATTTGTCATTACTTATATAGTACATAAAATAACAGTCAAGC